TCTGCCTGGGGGATGCTCTGCAGCTGGGGCTGAGTTCTGCATCCACCCGAACCGCATCACTGCGTGATGGGGAGGATTTGATGCATCTCTGGAACAACCCAGCCTGGGGGGAACTGGCAGCCCCCAAGCTCTGAACTCTTCTTCCCCCAGTGCAGGATTTCCCCTCAGTGCTGTAAAAGAGTGATGCATCTTTGGAAGATGCTGCCTTGATGCTGCGGGTGTCACCTGGGGTCTGTTCCCACCCTGGGGCTGGGATGTGTCAGCTCTGCCTGGGGCTGATCCTGACTCATCCTGAGCGTAAATGGGAACGGAGCAGCCTCCCCTTACGGCTGCTGGAGGGATGAGCCGGCCCGTCCTCCCCTGTGTCCCCATCGAGGGGGTCTCAGGTGCCTGATCCAAGCTTCATGGATTATTCAGGCTGAGACCACAGCCCCTGTGCTAAAACCTGGAGCCATCCTGAAGGAATTTGATGCAACTCTTTGATTCCCCACTTAGGGGGAAGCAGTTAGGCAAAAGGACTTGGTTTCTTGTCTTTGTTTTTCTCTCCCCTGCCTCATTCCCTCTGCTCTCTGTTCACAGCAGCAGCCACGGGGAACTTGCTGGATTTAGAAGATCCTGCCAAATCACCCCTGACCAGCGGCGCGGACTCTCCACACTTGGATAACAGCATGTTTGGACCCAGCTCGTCTGTAAATAACAACGTGGTGTGGGTAAGCCTGTGCTCGGGGCACCCATGGCACCTGCCGAGCTGGGGAGGTGCGATGCTCTCTCTGTTTCACGGGCTCCAGATCCCATCACGGGGCTTTTTTTCTTGGCTAAAACCCCGTTGGGAGCTCTGGGATGGCTGAGCCCCTCAGGCAGGGTTTCAGAGATGCTGAGCGAGCAGGGTTTCCATCTCCTGCTCGAAGTGATCGATGAGCGTTCGAGTACCTACTGCCCTTTTTAGGCTCTGTAAATAAATGAACGAGATTGCAAGGCACTCTGAGAAACGCCGCTGCCGGATAATTGAATATTACTTATTCCTGAGCAGCATTTCTCAGTGGTTTGTCACTTAATTGAGAGACCACCTAACTGCTCTGTTCAGGGGAAAAAATCATTATGTTGATGGCTTTTGTTTACCATTCACTAAAACCAGGCTATATTTATGTTCGTTATTACTCTTATTTTTCCCTTGTTCTTGTTTGCGGCTGTGTCTGCCTTGTATGAGCACGGACGGCTTCTCTAAAATGTCCTCAGTCACCTGGCTTAATTGTTTTATGGATCACTAATAGAAAAATAACGACCCAGCCCATGTTCCTGGGTGTGTGTCCGTCGAGGAGCCTCCTCTGTGCCCCATCACCGGCCTGGCTGGGGTTGATCTTTGAAGCCCTGCTTGACCTGGGCCCTTGTCCCAGCCCTCCCTGGCTGAATTTTAGAGAATTGAATGATAAAAGCTTTTGCCTGGAGCCTGTTTCTTGAGTCTGCTGGGTCTGAGCCTGAGGCTTTTCAGGTTAAACCTGAAGATCAACTCTAAGTCATATCAAATCCTGGAGGCTTATCCCTGCCTTCTTGCAGGCTTTTCGTACTTTACATATAGCATCGGGTCTGTAAGTGCCTCCCACGATTTTGGACATAGTCAAGCCTGTCCGTAGCAAAGCCCTCGCAGAGCCCGTCTTCCTGCACCCGAAACCTTTCTCCCTGCAAGTGACTCAAATGCTTTCCTTGGAAAACCTTAAGAGCAGATCAGAGAGAAATGATTCCCAGAGCTGCTTTCAAGCAGCACGAGTGAGTCCCCCCTGTGCTGGCGCGGAGTCGCTTTCCAAGTTGCTGATCCAGAAGAGCCCCGAGGGTCGCCTGGGGCGTCTCACCGAGCTCTGGCCGGGTCCCTCCTCTTCGCAGGAACCCGCAGCGTGTGCCGGTCGCACGCCGAGAGCTGGAATTACCCAGGGCTGTGGTTAACCAGATCCAGCCCATGCAGGCAGAATTCGCCTGGTTTGGAGATGGTGAGGAAGTGCCAAGCCCCCACCCCGTTGCTGGGCTGCGAGGGGCGCGTGGCAGCCCTGGGGTCTGCTTTGAGGAAGCCTGGACCACCCGGCGTTAGAGCTCTTACCCTGGGGCTTGTGCAGAAAGTGAGATAACACCTGCCCGAGGAGGCAGTTTGCTGAGGGGAGTGCTGCTGTAGGCACTCGGAGGTGTGTGTATATATATATATATATGCATATTTTTGTAATTTTTTTTTGGTCTGCCATGCTCAAGTGTGGAGCCAGATGAAAAAATACACTTTTGTGTGTTCTCTTAGCAACTACTTCTCTCTCTTTTTATCTCTTTGACAAAGGAAATGGATGATGGTCTCGACGAGGCATTTTCAAGGTAATTCTAATAACTCCCTTTACAAGTTCACGCCGCCAGGGACCAGCCCGGGAGACTTGACTAGTGACTGGCTTTTAATAATGCTTCTAATCTAATCGGCCGCCGTGATCTGACCTAGGCAGCTGCCCCATCAGTGCCTCAGCTGTTAATTGAAAGATAGGCTTTGAGGCTGGCTGATAAGCCAAATATTTTGACAATCTTTTAAGGATAGGGAGAGGCTGTGTGTGATAGGGAATTTAATTCCCCAAGCGTGTCCGCTCCCGCTCGCTGGGGTGGTTCGAGGCTGCCCGTTTCCAGCTCCTGTGTTAGCAGCAGCGATGCTGGTCCCAGCTTCTGGCACGGGGGATTTTCCCCCTCCCCAGCCCGCTGTGAGGGTTGGACTAACCCTGGGACTTCATTCCTCTCTCTCCCCAAACCAAGAGCAGCTGCTGAGCGCAGCCTCCCTGCTCCTTATTGCAGTGTCAGGGTGGTTCCAATGCACCAATTTTGAATTCATGCCCCATTTTTAAATTCAAGCATCTGAGCACGTTCCGAGTTTGTGGCCGTAGCTTCGGGTGGCTTAGTTCATTTTCCAGTCCAAATTAAGAGCTTCCCCGCGCGTACGTGCTGAGCAATCCAGCAACGCTAAACAAATCCGTTGGCTTTCAAGTGAGTTTTGGCTGGGAGGTGCTGAAAGAAGGAATCGGGCAGTAGCGAGGCTGAGCCCAACGTCGTCACCTCCCCGAGAGCCGCTTGCCTCTGCCGGGATTTGCGGCCGGGCAAAAACTGCACGCTCAGCCGTAAGGAAACAGAGCTCCCTGTCGTGTTTGGCTCTCGGGAATGATTTACAGCTTCCACTTCCACAGCAGCCCTTGTCCCAAGTCGTGTTCGATAAAGGGGCACCTTAAATTTATGGCTTAACGTCGTCTTATTTTTCATTGCCCCACTTAACGAAGCAGATGTTGCTGGCTGGGGGTGGTTGTTTTGCGTTGCCGGGTGCCGAGCTGTCGCCTCACCCCTGGCCTTCTGGTGAGTCAGTGTTTGGACAGCTCAGCCGCCCAGGCGGATGTTGCTGAAAGCGCTCCTGCCACACCACCATCGCTGGACGTTTTTCTTCTTTATTACCAAACGTGCGCCTGGCTTGTTTAATCCAAGCCTCGTCTGACACCGTGCCCCTCCTGGCTGAAAGGCCAAATGTCTGAGTTAACTTTTGGCCCTGGAGAATTGGTGCTGCAGCGTCACGTTTTCACAGGGGTATTTAATAACGCGACAGCAAACCGGGGCTCGTTCGGTTTTGCGAAATGCCTGGGATGTGCAGAGATGAAGAGCTCTTAAAGCTGATCCCGTTGGCTGTTAAACATCATCATCTGCATCCTGCTGTGTCTTTACCCAAAGAGTTAAATGCTTGGGCCGGGGAGCGTGGCGGGCAGCGAGCTGCAGCATCCGCTGCGTGTCCAGACACAGCCCCGTGAAAACTGAGTCACTGCAGCGAGGCTGCTCCTTGGGGCAGAGCCTTTACGCTGAGATAAGATCCCAGCTAAAGATGCACCCCCCAGCAATAGCTCAGAGGAGGAAAACACCACCATTCTGCCCAACCATTAATACAAGGGCTGTCCAGACTGCAAATTCCCTGCGTGCCTGTAGGGGAAATGTTGGGATAAACCAACAGCAAAGCTGCAAGAAGCTTGAGAGCTGCAGATGTTCTGTGCCAGCTCTGCCCTTACTGAATTATGTCATTCCGCTGGAGGATTTTGAAATGTGGAACTGCAGCTAGGGTTGGGCATTACGGATGCGTCAAGCATCCGAGCTGTAAACTGCATGGATTTGTGTTCTTACTTTCCTTTTTTTCTCCCCTCTTAGACTGGCTCAGTCGAGAACAAACCCTCACGTCCTCGACACGGGACTGACGGCTCAAGACATCCAGAGTGCAGAAACGCTCTCACCTGTAGACTGGAACAAAATAGATTCCAACGCAGGCGAGAAAGATGATCTGTTCATGTTTTGAGGTCAAATGCATCCAAGAGCTGACAAGAGAATAACCACTAAAAGTCTGTGGACTGAATCACGCTGTTCCGGGTGCTGTACGCAAGGGACTCCTCTGAGGGCTCTTCACCAAGTCAGGTGATGTTACAGCACAGTTTAGACCAAAGCTTTAGAAATCTAATGCAGATTTTTGTACCTTGCTTTTATCTAAACCACAAGATGCTCTTGAACGTATTTATTCATAGCCGTTACAGTTTACATACGTTAGTGGAAGGTGTGTAGAGCATCTACAGTATTACGTGGCAATATACCGTGGAAGAACCTTCAGCAGTGCCTGTTCCTCTCTGAGAAAAGACTATGCAACACCAAAGTCTCTCTTTATACACTTTTCTAGACAAAGCTCTGCAGATGCAGATGCAATTGCAAGCACAACTGTTACTAATCCACTGTTTCTTGAACAACACATCACCTGCCTAGGTGGAGGGAGGGGATTTGCAGCAGCTGCTAACAGTATAAAAATCAAAGAGGTAGCAGAGATCTTGCTTTTGTTGTGAATGTCGGTGACGCTCTCACAGCCGTCAATCACCCCCATGGCTTCTGGCTCTTTCTCTGCCAGCTTTGTGTGGGAATTGACACGTTTTTTTACCCAAAGACTCCATGAAGTTTTGCACTTTAAAACTTGAACTGAAAGCAGTGGTCCGCATTGTCAAGGTAAGCAGTGCCTGTAGCTTCTCTTCCGAAGCTATTTACCCCCCAAAAAATAAAACCCCAACCCCACGATGCTGCAGGTCTGGTTTAATACTGACTACTCACGTGCACCATTTGGGACGCGGCTCAAAACTCTGAGGCTCCATTGCACTGTTGGCTTGAAAAGCAGAACCGCCAGGGAGTAACAATTTGTTTTGCTAAAGCGTGTTGAAAGTTGCAGGTTGGGTGAAGCCGGGAGCACAATAGATCTGTGTTCTCAGCTCCGCTAAGTGGATTTGGCTGTGCGTGCCTTTTTGCTGTCTCAAAACCATTTGGTCGTTGCTCACTCAATAGACTCAAATGGAATTGGATTAGGCAAGACCAATACCTGGATGTTCAATTAGCAAGAGGTGCCCCGTCCGACAGGACCCCCATCCTCTCCCCGCGACGGCCCCATCTCCTGTGAGGCTCAGGAAGCCGTCTTCATCTGCTCCAGGAATTGAAAATAAGTAATGGAGGTATAAAGCTTATGCTAATTAAAAGATTTAAGTTTAATGATCCTAAATAGTTGCACTGACAGTTTGCAGTGTTTGTGGCCTTACGTGAAGTACACTAATCTGTTTTATAGATTTGTAACTTGGTTTTGAAACACTAATTCATTCCCCGGATAGCTCTTTATAACTCCCTTAAAACTGCTTGCAGGAAAAAAAAAAAAAGAAAAACCTCTTTGTCAGCTGTAAGAATTTATTAGGAAACAGCTGAGTGACTCTAAGTTAGATTTGATTTTTTTTTTTACCTCCCTAAGTGTTAGTGTGATAAGGTATCGAGGACTTGTGAAGCTGACTCATCATGTCTCTTAATAAAATGTGTGCTCTGTTTATCCTGCAAAACTGTGGTTAAAGCAATTTTACATCTTGAAACTACTGTACCCATGACTTACTTGATCTTATGTGTAGCGTAAGTCTCTTGTGACTGAAGGAATCATTCCAAGCTGGTCCGTGCTGCAGAGGCACACAGCAGAGACATGAGCCTGTTGCGTAAGCGATGCCAAAACTGCGCAAAGGGGTTGTCGAAGCGCCTTGTCCCCGACCCTGAGGAGTGGTGAAATTCTAGGAGAGAGCTTGGGCTGTAGGAATGGACCGTGAGGATTTCTCTGTACGTTGATCTTTCTCCTTTTGTTCTAGAGGCTCTAGGAGCATATACCGAGACGCAAAACGCTATATATGTTTGTATATAGTTTTTTTAAGAAAACCTTATGCTGTAAAGAATATCTGTACCGAGGAAAATTAAAGTTCTGCCATTTTTTTGGAGTGTCTGTGCTGGGTGATTTTATTTTTGCCGTGGTCCTTTTAATCTGTAGAAGCCTTTGTATTTCTAACCGGCTGAATTCTCCCATCTCCCTCAATGTGCAGCAGGAAGTGATGGGAAGCATCGCGGGGAGGTCTCGGTCCATTGGGAGGCCATTCCTGGGTGGGAAGATGCTGTAGCTGGACACGAGCCCAGGGTGCTGCCTCCAGGAAAGAAGTAGGATGGGATGGGATGGGATGGGATGGGATGGGATGGGATGGGATGGGATGGGATGGGATGGGATGGGATGGGATGGGATGGGTGCAGCCATGCAGGATGCCACCCTTGGTCCTGTGCCAGGGCAGGGGGTGACATCACAGCTGGCTCAATAAACCTGTCCCTGCCGAGCCCCCGCTGTGCTCGACTGACCTCCAGCTAAGGGTGTGACGGTGGAGAAAAAGAGATTGGTGCTTCGGGCTTATCTGCAGATAAACATGGTGCTTGT